GCAAACGACTCGACGGCACATAACAACAACAACAAAAACAACAACTTATTCCCCTTAACAGGAGTATGTTTTAATGCTTGGGTTTCCCCCTTCTTTTTGTATTTCCTTTCTTCCAATGACTAATGTTCTTAATTCAGGCTAATGTGAGAAAGGTGTATCAAACTTTGCAAGGCATATCTTTACTGCACTGTTAAAGATGAATGCAATTAAAAGGCAAATGAGAAATATCTTAAAGAAAAAGTATAAAGGTCATACACAAAATTGGCACTATATGCTCAATTTTATTGTACAGTCATAAGTTTTAAGTTGGAAGGTCAGAAGAACATTGTACCACTTTTCACTAACTCAAATCAAGTTAGCCAAAGAGAAATTTTAGAATATATTCCATTTGTTTCACCCAATGTGGGTGATTACAAGAGAAGCTAGACAAAGAACACTATTTTCTATGTTACTTAAGCATCATATTAACCTGACATACACAGCTCTAAGTTATCGTAAGATATCTCAAAGTGTTTCAAAATAAGTAGGGGGATAGTTCATGCACAATATCCAAAAATAAAATGTAGAATGTGTAAATAATTCTATTGTATATCCACAGTAGAATTAATCCCTCCCGCTCAAGACAAAACAAATAATCTCCATTTAGACTGGGTTTACTATGTTAACGACTTAAATTAAGTAAGTTTGTTTATATTGTTATATTGCACTTGAAAACAATCAAACAAGATTTTAAAAATTCAGTACCTATACTACAAAGTTCATTATGCATCAGAAATTAAAACAAAATACATACTCAATGCTGCACGTCCACAGGTTCATCTTTGGAATCAGCCTATACTGGGTCATTAATTTTTAAATCCTATGTTGCATTTTCAAACTTCATATATATTGTTTCTTATTTATCAAAGAACTGCATATATGTGATTTCCAAGAGTATAAGTAAAGTGACCATGAGACAGGCAATAGTCACACACAGATATTCCAAGAATGAATTCGTCTTCCCCAGCTTGGTACCACATTCTGCAATGTAAGCATGTTTATCAACTTACAAACTACACAAACTGACTAATCCATTACACACTATATTTTGCCACATAAATCTCTCTCTCAGGACCATAATTCATCATTAGAAACTTTCAGAGTCCTATTCAAGCCAGTGTATGTAGTATTTTTCCTGACTACCAATCTACTGTAAGCAGTTTTTTAGGAGAAGGAATTGTGGTAATAGTATTTTGATTGAATTATAGTAATTATTAACCACAAATGGAAAGTAAAGGGAAGAGAAGGAAATAAAGATCTTCACAAAAATTTTTCTCAAAACATGATTTCTCAAGTAAGTACTTATGAATATTTTTTAAAAATCGGTATTGATATTTTTTCCAATATTAAATATTTTCTGTATTCTGAATATCATTTGCATGTATTTTTTTCTTAAACTGGCCAAGTTTAGAAATTTAAAATGTATTGTAATTCTTAATAAACCATAAAGACTGATATTTTAAATGGTGAAATAATTCTAAATTCTAATTTTTTCTAAGACTATAATTTTGATATCTGAATCAAATACGTTCACGTTTTTTTTAAAGAAAAATTCTTTTTATTTTTTAATTATTATTATTTTGTGTGTCTGCGTACCGTCAAATCAGATCTGACTGGTACAGGAGGAAACTGTCCCTCCTTTCCCGGCAGAGCATTTGGTGGATTCGAACCATGCACCTCTGGGGTTGCAGTGCAGCTTCTTGCCACCAGACTACCAGAGCTCCCCGTTCACATGCTTCTTTAGGGTAAAAAGCATCTCAACGTTTTCCCAAAACTATTCCTTACCAATGGCTTTTCAATTATACTTCTTTCATATTTTTATAGAGAGATAAATTTTCATTTTTTGGGAAAAAAACTAACCCACTGTTATATTTTAAAATGACATTTTTGAAAGGCATTTAAATCATCATCTTATTTTTGAATCAGAACATCCTTCAAACTTCAATATGATTATACAATAGGTTTCAAAAAAGGAACAGATTGTAAATACTAACATTTTTTGTCAAGAGTGAATGTCTACCAAACTTATATTCTCAAGATCAATGTCATCTTAAACTAATTTAATGGCTATATATACTTGTCCCTCTGATAAAAAGACTTTTTCTTAAAAAACTGTAGTCATTGATAATAAATATAAATATTTCATATGTGATTTAAGCTACTAATAAAATTTGTAGTAAAAAATTTGTAAAATTAGAAATTTGCTAAATCTAAATAGAGGGTCTGATTAATGTTCTAATTTGCTTAACTCACATAATAAGTTTCTATTTCATGATTACATTTTCAAGATTAGTTCATGCACTTATGAACAGAATTATAAAACAAGACATGAGAAGATAAAATCTATTTTTAAAACATACAAAAAACTGTCAATTATTTAAGGGCAATATTTACCATTGCTAAATGAGGACAGCAGTTAAAAAGCTATTAAACTTTCAATTTCCAATGCACAACATGATGTCATTGCACAAAAATAATTATGCCGAAAGTTATCCCCAGGCCTTGAGAAACTGTGAATAATCACTTTTTCTTCTAGAAGATCACCACTCTCTCTACAGGCTTATAAAACTACAGCTGACCAAGTGCACCACTTTTAATAGAATCTAGAAAAGTAGTTTTATTAATCAACCCAAAAAACTTTAAAAAGTTTTCAGTAACAAGTTGCTTATAAAATTATCTTATAAAAAGAATTTTGATAGCTGAGAGTGGTTTTATACATTATCTTGCTTAAAATGAGGTAAAAGCTAAGTGATTAGCATTATTTGTAAAGAAAAATCAATGAGAGTTTTGATTCTAAGCATTCTTCATGAGGTAGGGGGGATGGTGAGGGGAAACAGTCTCATAAATTGTTAAGATTCCTTATTAATCTCAACCCCCTCTCAATTAGTTTTAGAAATACAAGGAAATACACATGTGGAAAATTGCTCTAAAAACTTAATACCCACATGCAATGGTATCAAAGAGCTGCAGACATAGTCTTTTCATGGAAATGCTTTCTTTTTTCCCCTACGGTAAAGAACTCAAAATCACTGCTATTGAATCAGACAGAACCAATGCACAGCTGAAAATCAAAGGGGTGAAGCCACTGGTAGACAAGAATCAGCAAAGTGCCACCTTTAGGTCAGCAGTGCAACTTTCTACAGTCTATACCACAATACCCTGAACAAAACAATGGAACATATGTACTTTACAGAAGCAACTTCCGACCTTATAAGGCTCAACATTTCTGAATGTTCAGCTGAAAATGAACTATTACACACTGGAGGTGTTTTTGATACTAGAAGGAAGTTTGAAGCACCTAGAAGGGAATCTTACAAATGAGTATCTAATAAAATAGATTGAAAATTAAAAATAAATACAACTTTAACACTGTGTACCCAATTCCCATATTAAAACCAACCATTATAACTACCTTGCTATATAAGAATTTTTACGAAATCATGCATTTAAAAAGAAAAAGAAAACCCCCCAAAAGTTCTATCATATAGTTGATATTAAATCCCAAGTCCATGCAGCTATAAAGTCTTTAGTAGCTTGAAGAGTCAACTGTAGTGTATTGTGTTTTAACATTAAGTACCTGTACAAACATGGATGCCAAGGTCCAAATGTGAACTGTTTAACGTGATGACAATATAAACAATGAAATCTAACATACTAAATAATAAACAGTAATTATAAAAGCTCTTAAATTTTATATAAAGTAGTAACTAAGAAACTAACTGTCCTATATACATTGAAAACTAGCACTTGAAAGTTTATCATTTAAATAACCAAAACCAGTTGATGTCTATTAAGGGTATGTCTGAAATTAATTATAAAGACAAGGTTGGCAAATATTGCTCTCATTTTGTGACTAGTCTCAATGGTCATCAATAGCAGTACAGTCTAGGAGTTTCATTCCTCATGAAGGCAGTCTCAGTCTGTATCGATGCTGGCAGGGTCAGGATGTGCCAGAAGTTACACAGTTAAGTTTCAGAGTTTCCTTCGCTATTTTCTTGAGGTTGAAGCTGTTCTCTCTCTTGTTCTTCCTGAGGTGGCCGGACTCGTTTAAAAAAGCCCATCTGTCAGGTGAAGAAAAAGACATATTACACTTTATCAGTTAACAATATAAAAAGACTTTTTGAGTTACTATAATCAAGAAAATTTAAACAATGTTACAATTTCTCTTGCTTCAAGTAACATACAATGCCCATAACACATCGACATTACAGAACTCTTGCTTTGTTAGCCTTCTCTCTTTTTCAGTTGCTTTGTATGCATCTGAAATTTAGACAGTGAATAAGGATGACTGAAGAACTGATGTCTAAATTGTGTGGTGGTCAAGAGTGCTAAATATACTATGAACTGTCAAAAGAAAAAAAACCCAACACATTATCTGTCTTGGAGGAAATGCAACCAGGGCATTGCCCTAGAGGCAAGATAGTAAAGCTTCTGTCTCACATATCTGGGCATACTGCCAGGAGAGGCCAGTCCTTGGAAAAAGACATCATGCTGAGAAAAGTAGAGGGTCAGGGACAGAGAGAAGACGTTCCACAAGAGGGACCAATACAGTGACTACAAGAAAGGACTTAGCAGAGGTGGTGAAGATGGCACAGGACAGGGCAAGGTTCCAATCCACAGGGTCCCTGTGAGCTACAGTGGGCTGGATGGCATCTAACAACAGCAACCCCATCTGCCTTTTTTTTTTGGCCTCCCCTTTCTTCCATTTTTCTGGGTTCCACTACTTACCCTGTACATTACAAACACCAAAACAGCCAGTAACAACAACCCTGCTAGAACTGCTAAGATGATCACCCACACGGGCACAGGCATGGGTGTGGGCTGAATGCCCCAGGTGACATTAGTGGTAACCTGTTAGGGGAAAAAACATTTTTGCATTTTAAAAGTCTTTTATTCACTTATTCTACTAGCATTTTGCGTGATTATTATCTTGAATTTAAATGACTTTCACATGATTCTCCTTTTTGTGTATGAAATTTAGTGATCATATATTTGGTAATGAAAGCAGGGACACAGAAAACTCCTAACAGTAGGTTAACTTCTGATAGCCCCTGAACAGATATGCAAATATTCTGTCAGTTTATGATGTTTCTTGATCTTATTCTTCAACTGAAGCTTTTCAAAATGTAGTTCATTTCCAACTTTCTACCTCTGTGCATTTAGAATTTTCCTCTGAAAAATTTTAGTATATACTAAGAATTCCTACACAAAGGACATAATGGTAAAAAACCCACACCACAAAACCAAACAAACTGCTAGCTTTAAACATTCCATGGTGTAAAGAAATAACTCAAAGTTTTGAAAAAGGTGATTAAGTAGCTAAACTGGTATTAAAAATAACAACCACAAAAGAAAGCATCTAAGATAATTGAAGTAAATGCGTTTATTTATTTCATCTCCCCAAATAAAGTACTTACTAGTGTGGAGTTGAAGATATCCTCAATGGGAAGATTCTTATAGGGAAACTCTATCACATTAAACGAAGCTGAGGACTTCAGAGAATATGAGTGATTCTGGTTTTCCTTCTGTATGGAAATAGAAATGAAGTGGTTTCTTAAATGTGAGGGCTATTCTAGCTGTCTGAAAAAGATGAACTTATAATGCTGGTTCTGTCCACCTACATTCATAAAGGTCTCGGTCCACAGGAGAGACTTCACGTACAGGATGGCACTCTTCCCTCTATCTAGCCGTCCAACTTGGCAGGTGATCTTCAAGCATTCGGCAATTCCACAGCCCTTCCAAGACAAGTTTTTTACTTTCATGAAAACACCACTCTATCACCCCTTTAAAACTTTTCAAAATCAGGTTTCTTAAGTGATGATCTAGATTCTCTTAAGAAAAGAAATCTAAAAGGAGCAGGCTAAGACTCGAGATGACGAATGCTCTTTGTTATGAAGGGGGTTTGATTTTAATGTAGTGTATGACAGTTGTAATATCTAGATATGAAAAGATTCCTTTTTTAAGGCTTGACATCAAGATTCTTCAAGCAATACCAAAGCACAGTGGCTTTATAAGATATGAAGAGCAGATTACAATGTTCTTGTGGAAAATATGGAGAAACAGTGACTTTTTAATGACTGTTAAGTAACAGAATCAAGTTAGTCCTAGTGCAATAATCAAGCAACATGCCTATGGCCTTTAACATATTTCATGTGTTTACTGTAACTTGAAGGCATCCAACCAGACAAGGCATACATGCATAACCTTCTATGAGCCAGTGAAACTGGCTAGACACTAGACAATTTATAACAATTTTTTTATAGCATTAGGCAACTTATAACAATTTTATTCTGTAAGTGGCATATACCACAATTTGATGAGAAAATAAAATTTCAGTGATTAGCAAATGGATCAATTACCCAGAAAATGATGGGAGAAACAGAATTAAATCCAGATATGTCAGACTCCAAAGGAAAGCATGTATTGTTTCTACTAAATTGTATCAGCTTTATCAAAATTGCAAACAGCACACACCTAAGAATTCTAATCAATACATCTATTTTAAAAATAAAATTTTTACAAGTTCTCAAAAGGCAGAATAAAATAATGGATTCAAATCAACAACCAATGTTAAGTGTAAGGAATTTATAACTTCAGAGCCATTTAAGAACAGAATAGGCTGCTTGGTTATATAGCATAAATTCTTATTTACTGGGAGTATTAAAATATGTAATAGTCAACAGTTAAAAAACCCTGGTGGTGCAGTGGTTAAGCACTCAGCTGCTGGCTGGAAGTTCAATGGTGGGGAAATGTCCTCACTCAAGGACAGATATCTGCTGAAGTTACTACTCTGGAAATAGCTACATATAAGAGATTGCGATTTTTAACAGCATTAGTTAACACTCTTGGCACCAAGAGCCAGGAAATTAAAAGATGAATTGAGCTGGGAAAGGCTGCTGTCAGAGACCTCACCAAAGTACTGATGAGCAACGATATCAGTGTGGAGACTAAGGTGTGCATAATACAGGCCATGGTCTTTGCAATCACTTGCTATACATCAGAGAGCTGGATAATGACTAGGGATGATAGAAGGCGAGTTGAAGCCTTTGAGCTGTGGTGCTGGAGAAGAGTACTGAATATACCATGGACTGCTAAGAGAAGAAACAGGTTCATCCTGGAGAGGGTGAAGCCAGGCTGCTCATTGGAGACAAGGATTCTGAAGCTTCATCTGACTTCTTTGGAAATGTTGTAAGGAGGGACTGGTCCCTTGCTTGGGAGGGTGGAGGGACAGTGCAAGAGAGGAAGACCCTCCATGAGGTGGACTGATTCAGTGACTGGGGTAAGGGGGGTAGGTGTGTCAGAGACAGTGAGATTGGCACAGGATAGAGTAGGGTTTAGGGCTGTTGTACATAGGGTTGCTATGAGTCACAGGCAACTCAATGGCACATTAACAGCAACAACAATGAATGGGTGATATGGGGGTACCAAGGCCTGGGTTCACAACCCCGTTTGGGTCAACTTTGAAGGAGCATCCTAGCTCCAAAGCCTGGGGGCAGCTGAGAAAACAGCTGGAGCTACATCAAAAAGTACAACTTCATTGTGACCATGCTTGAGTCTTCTCTCACTCATGCTGTTGTGTGCCATGCAGTCAGTTCTGACTCTTAATGACTCCAACCAGTTTTCTGGTATGTAATCTTATCAGAGCCGACTGTTAGGTCTTTTCTGCCATGGAGAGTTTTGGTGGGCTCAAACCACTACTCTTTCATTTAGCAACCTGATGTTTTACCATTGTTCCACTAATGCTCCTTTCTCTCATAACAAAGTCCCTGCAGGCAAATCCCTGTTCTGCGCCTGTTATGAGGAAAACTGCTGCTGTTACACATGGTCCTAGAGAGTAAACCTTCAGAGCTGGACTATCTGCCAGGGAGCAGTTGGCAATGAAGATGCCATCACTATTTGCAGGTCAAGTTGTTAAGTCCAAGGCAGACTGTAATGGTGCAACACTTAACATTTCTACTGCTCACACATTGGACAAGAGCTTGAAAAGCTAAGGATCAGATCTGGGATACACTTCAAAAGCATAAGAGCTCCAGAAAATCGTGGATTTTAAATTCTATTTGGTCTGCTTTGCAAAAGCACATTGACAAAGATGGAGAAATTTAGGCAATTGCTCGAAACAGTTTTCCAATCCCAGATAACCCTGAACTCTCTGAGCCAGAAGTAGCCCACTCCTCCCTATTACAGACTAGAACTGACTCCCTCTATGAAGAAAGGCTGAAGCCCCTACCTTACCAGATGGTTCTCTAAGGAACCACCCTCCACACTGGGTACCAAGGTAAAGCCAAGAGGTCAGTAAAAAGAAAGCAGTCAGAAAATATGTAGGAACATCAAGTATTCTTATTAGCAAGCTAAAAAAACCCCAAATCATTTGAAGAAAATGTGAGGCTAATTTGACTAGGAAGAAGGAAAAGAAGACGACGGAATGCTATAAAAATATATGTAGTTCTTGTGAGCACAGCTGTTGTTATTTTTGAAATATGCTATTTGGCATCAGTCTTATAATCACATTTTAAAAATTTTTAACGTCTGTGTAGTTAAAGTGGCACTTACCAAAGTGTGAACATCCCCTTCACTGAGGGTGAGATCTCGCTTAGTGACGAGATGGTTCCGGTCACCCTGCCCAGCAAGTGTGTCATTCTTCTGAGCTGTCTGGGAATTTGAGACCTAGTATTGGAGCAACAAAATGGTGGTAAAAAAATAACATAAAATGTGTCCATCTTGTCAATTTTACATAAATTGCTCTTTAAAAAAGCAGGGGATAAAAAAAGTATAGGTATGATAGAAAACTCTCTACTTAATATACTCCATAAAAGAAGGAAAGAAAATATAGAGTCCTTGTTATACAGAGAGAAACACCTCACTGCCTTCACTTCTTCTTCTTGCAAAGATGGAGGGGGAGCTAATGAAACATACTGCAAGTCTGAAATTTCACACGACACCTGTGCTGAGTGGCAGTTATGAGTTCACTTTTTGTCCCATAGTCTTACTTTTTCAATTCCGTTTTAAGTAGTACCTTTCTATCCAAATGTGCATGACAGAATGGTTCTTGTGGGTGCCGCTGAGTTGAATACAACTCATAGCGATCCTATGATCAACAGATCTGAACCCTAACCTGGTCCAACCTCCCAATCTCTGACTTACTCAAGCCCACTGGGAAGTTACTCTGTCAATCCACCTGGTTGAGGGTCTTCCTCACCTTTGCCTCCCCCTATCTCTCCAAGCATGATATCCTCCAAGGAATAGCTGTTCTTAGCAACATGCCTAAAGTACGCAAGATCACATCCTTGCCGCCAAGAAGTACTCTGGCTGCACCTTCTCCAAGACATGTCTGTCTGTTCTGTTGGCAGTCCATAGGATATTCAGTACTCCTCTCAAGAACATAGCTCAAAGGTGTCAATTTTTGTCATTCTTATTCATTGTCCAGCTCTATGCAGCATGCCAAGGGATTGAAAAGACCATGTTCTGAATCAGTCTTAGTCCTCAAACTAACAACAGTGCTAACAATAATCTGGAGAAGTTCCTGACAGCAGATGTTTCCAGTGGAATACATCTACTGATTTCTTGACCGCTCGTATGAAGTATAGTAATTGCAGGTCTAAGTAAGATGAAGTCATTTGACAGGTAAAATCCTTTCTCCATTATCATGATGTTGTCTATTGGTCTAGTGGTGAGAATTTTTGTTTTCCTGACAGCAAGATCCAATCCTTACTTAAGGCTGAAGTGTTTGATCTTCTATAGCAAGTATTTCAAGTCATTCCTCACTTTCAGCAAACAAGATTGTGCCAACTACATAATGAAGGTTACTTATGGGTCTTCCTCCAATCTGATGCCACATTCTTCTTCATGGAGTCCAGTTTCTCAAATAATTTGCTTAACATACAGATTGAAAAGGGATCAAGAAATGATACCACCCTGATGCACACCTTTCTTAATTGTAAATCATGCAATGTTCCCTGGCTCTGTTGCACAACAGCATTTTAGTCTAGCTCTAGATTTCACACGAGTACACTTAAGAGCTCTGGGATTCCCATTCTTCTCAAGGTGAACCATAATTTGTTATGATCTACATGGTCAAATGCCTTTTCATTGTCAATAAAGCACAGACAGATATTTTTCTGGTATTCTTGCTTTCAGTCAGGATCCACCAGTCATCAGCAATGATATCCTTGGTGCCACAGCCTCTTCTAAATCCAGCTTGAACTTCTGGCAGTTTTCTGTCCATATATTGTTCTAGCCATTTTAAAGTTATTTTCAGCAGTATTTTGCTTGCATGTGATATTAATGATATTGTTTAATAATTTCCATATTCTGTTGGACCATCTTTTTTTGGGAATGGGAACAAACATGGGGATCTCTTCCAGTCAGTGAGCTAGGCTCACCTTGTCATCCAAATTTCTTGACAAAAACTGGAGCATACATCCTTGACTGTCTGTCATCTCAAATATGTCAACTGGTATCCCATTGATTCCTAGGGCTTTATTTTATGCCAATGTCTTTACTGCAGCTTGACTTCCTTTCTTACCATTGGCTTTGATTATATGGTATTTCCTAAAATACTTCAGGGTTGGCCAGTTCTTTAAGGTAGTTATTTTCTGTACTACCCCCATTTTCTTTTCATGCTTTCCAAGTCATTCAAGATTTTGCCCATAGCATCTCTAAATACCCAAGTTACAACTTGAGACTTGAATTTAAGTTCCTTCAGGTTGAGAAATACCAAGTGAGTTCTTCCCTTTTAACTCTCGAATTCTCGTCCCTGAACATTTCTCAAGCTGTTCTTTGAAATCTTCTATTTAATTATTTTCATTTCATTTCAACATCTGTCCCATTGTCAGTGCTTCTTAAAGCAACTATTTCAGTTTTTTGTTTCTCCTCCATCTTGGAAAAGACCTTCTGCTCTCTTCATGAATGATGCCCTTGATGATATCCCACAATTCATCTGTTCTTCATCACTGGTGTTCAATGCTTCAAACCTATCGTTAAGGTGATTTTTAAATCCAGATGCAGTAAAATCAAGGTCATACTTTGGTTCTCACTGACTTATTTTCATTTTCTTCAGCCTCAATTTGAATTTGCACGTGAATAATTAATGATCTGTTCCACAGTTGGCACTTGGCCTGGTTTTGACTGCTGATACTGAGCTTCTTCAAGGATTCAATGTGAATGTTTCAAGGAAACAATGTGAATGAGGAATATGTGGAACACAATGTATGTAAATGAAACACAATGTATATGAATTATATACGTAAACCAATATAAAATAAATTTTAAAAAGGTATTTGTAATGAATAAATCATTGAACATATAAAATTTGATCATTCCATTTCTGTCACCTAGTCTGTACTTTCCAACTACTCTTTCTTCTTCATCGTTTCCAACTTTTACATTCCAGTCACCATTTATCATGAGTGTATCTTGATTAAATATTAGTCAATTTTGGACTACAAAGTTTGATAATAATTTTCAATTTCCTTTTCTCTGGCTTTATTTATTGTCGTGTATATTTGAATACTCATCATATTAACGGGTATTTCTTGTATGCGTCTGGATATTCTTATCACTCTCAATATTGTACTTCAGAATAGAACCTGACAATATCTTTTTAATTATGAATGCAACATCATTCTTCCTCTGTTTTTCATTTCTAGCATCAAAAGATCAATTGCATTGGGAAAATCTGCTGTCAGGGGCTCTCTCTAGAGTAGTGAAAAGGAATGATGTCAGTCTAGAGGCTAAAGTGTGCCTAATCCAGACCATGGTCTTCACAATTACTTGCTATGCGTCAGAGGGCTGGACAATGACTAAAGATGACAGAAGAAGAATCGATGTCTCTGAGTTGTTGTGTTGGAGAAGAGTATTGAACATATTATGGACAGCCAAGAAAATAAATAGGTCTATCTTAGAAAGGGTGAAACCATGTTTCTCCTCGGAGGCTAGGATTTTGAGGCTCTGTCTCCCTTACTCTGGGCATGTGGCCAGGAGAAACTGATCCTTGGAGAAGGACCTCATGCTTGGAATGGTGAAGGAACAGTGCAGGAGACAAAGACTCTGGATGAGATGGATTAATACAGTGACTGGGATAATGGGGGTTGGTGTGTCGGAATCAATGAGACTGGTTCAGGACAGGGCAGGATTCAGAGCTGTTGTACATAGGGTTGCAGGTGACTTGAGAGCACATAACAACAACAGCACAGTATACCAAGTGACTGTCTGATGCAAAGTGGCCAAAACCAGTCCCTCTCATCTCACTAATGCCTAGAATGTTGATGTTCAGGTGTTCCATTTAATTTTCACACCTTCTAGTTTTCAAACACTCATACTTTGCACATTCTATATTCCAACTATTAAAGGATGTTTGCAGCTGTTGCTCTCATTTTGACGGACTTCCAATCTGGGCTCTGCCTCTAATACTATTAACTATCTGTGTCCTTCCATTGTTCAAAGGCAATTCAGAATCCTGTTATTTCAGAAGTGGATGGTCCATCCATTTTCCTAGTCCATATCCAAAGTTACACTTGATTTCATAAAATGACGTCTTTCTAGGGTATGTAATTATCAAGAAATTTCTAAGTACAGCCTTTACTTATCCTTGAGACAGAAATTTCAGTGTCTTTGTTGCTGGCGTTAGCTACTGTTGAATGGACTCAAGGATGCCATGTTCAATGAGATCAGACTATTTTGATGCACAAGCTTACTCCTGGCTGATTTTTGGAAACAGATTGCCAAGTCCTTCCTTCTTAGTCTGGAAACCCTGATGAAACCTATTCAGCAGTTCTGCAAAATGCATGCCTCCAATGACAAATGAGTGGTGGCTGTCAGGAACTCATGCACAGGAGACAAGAATTCTACCACTGAATGATCACTGTCCTCCTTTAACATAATATTATACACTGGAAAAACTTTCATGTGATGTTGTTGTTATGTGCCGTCAAATCGCCTGAGACTCTATGTACAATAGCCCTAAACTCTGCTCTATTGTGTGCCAATCCCACTGTCTTTGACACACCTGTGCCCATTACCCCAGTTACTGAATCAATCCAGCTCTTGTAGGGTCTTCCTCTCTTACGCTGTTTCTCCACCCTTCCAAGCATGATATCCCTCTACAAGGACTGGTCCCTCCTTACAGCATATCTAAAGTACATGAGACGAAGCTTTAGAATCCTTGCCTCCAAGGAGCAGCCTGGTTTAAGCCTCTCCAGGATGAATCTGTTTGTTTTCTTAGGAGTCCACGGTATATTCCATACTCCAACACCACAGCTGAAAGGCATCAATTCTCCTTCTATCATCCCTAGTCACTGTCAGCTCTCTGACACATAGCAAGTGATTGCAAAGACTACGGCTTATATCAGGTGCCCTTTAGTCTCCAGCCTGCCATCTTTGCACTTCAGCACTTTAGAGAGGTCTCTAACCACAGACTTTCCCATCGCAATACATCTTTTAATTTCCTGTCTGCTGGTGCCAAAAGTGTTGACTGTGGATCCAACCAAACCAAAACTCTGAACAATCTCAATCTCCTCACCATCTATCATGTGGAGTACCAAAGTTAAATCGAACCATTATTAACTATACAGAATTATGTGTGCATACTGTCTGCATATGGGTATATGTGTCTACACATAGTCCTGCGAATTAGAAATTCACAGAATTCCTCTTCATTCAATAAATCAATAACTTAATTTTTGTATGCTAAATAAGAACTACAAAGTATTTTTGATGAGTGCATTTGTGTTTGAGAATAGGATTTTTTTTAAAAAAAAAAAGAAAAATAGCTGTTTTTCTTTTGTGTATTTGTCTTATAGGCTTAGGGAGGAGAAAAGCAATTATCATCATAATGAAGAGTTGTTAATAAGCACATTACCTTAATTCTCAAAGGGTTAATTTCCATGTCTGAAGTGCAGTTCATTGGCCCATCAATATCATACTGAAGGATGTACAGCAAAGTATTATTATTGTACTTGTAAGGCCACTGAAGATTCAGCATTGCCTTGCTGAATGAACTTGGACCATTGTTTCTCAACTAATGAGGAAAGGAAACATAAAAAAAATATATTTTTTAATAATTCTCCTAGTTAACTTTAGTAAGCAAATTAATAACAATTTATGTGTCAGACATTCCCCAGTTAAGCTAGTATTTCAATGGGAGGGTGATTATGAAAAAAAATGGTCAACATTTGTCTTTGACGACAAAAGAGGAAACATTTAAAATTCTTGATGAAAGACAGGCAAAGAAGATTCTCTTCCAAGAGAAACAAAATGTTGATCTATTATCTTTACTTAAGGACAGTGATTAGCTCTTAAAAAACAATTTACAGGATTTGATTTCTTTTAAACACTTGAAGTGTCTTGACCAGTACAAATGAAATGCTGGGGCTAAAATTTAAAGAAGTAACTGGTTTGTTGCACTCTTTAGTGGCTCTATGACTCGGTTCCACTTATATCCAACAGCTGCAAACCTCATAGATGTGCTGAACAACTGGCCCAACATCTTCTTCTGTCTCCGGGTGCTCCTTGTGCTCCCAATTCGGAATCGGAAGAAAGATATGATCAGGACTTGAGACTCTAAACAATGACCAAAGAAAGCCTACTATGAATATCAAAATGACGCAGTCAGTTCATTTCCAAGAGTATTCTATAATCAAATGAATAATAATGGAACAGGAAGTTCCAACGAAAAAAATACCTACACATGCAGGCACACACACACAAAAATCTATAGACATATACATGCTTTATTATTAGATGTGCATATTAGGAGGTGAACTGATGAGTCAATTTGTATAAAAAGGTCAATAAACTTATTTTGCGTCTAGTGTTGCCAAGTCTAATTCCTTCCAGATGTTCACCAGATAAATATTTACAGCTTTATGATACATGGAAGAGGTTTTCTCTCCGTAAAGCTAAAGCCTTAGTGAAACCATCATTGAACATGAAGTACCTATTTTTAGAAAGAAGCTAGGGCCTTGTAACAACTTTCAGAAAGCAATCTGGGGAATGAGGTACTCAACTTAGTAGTCATACTGACCCTCTTATCTCAACAGCAGCTAAAACAGCAAGATCAACTTTGTAAGACACCACTGGGCTTACTTTATCAAAAAGATTGGAGCTGAAAAAGAAAAAAAAAAAGTCAGAACTGAATTGTACACAATTATCAAATCATAGCGGTAAATAGAGTAAAACTAAAGAGGAACAAATGAAAGATAACTACAAATAAAAAACTCACAAATTAAAAACATTCTTTTCAGTAGCATTTAATTCCAAGATGATAAAGTTCTGCTACTTTTCTTTGAAGATTTTTATCCAACCTAGTGTTCATGTTAGTGGCACATATATATTTTGTTTTATAACCTCAAACTGACATTATAACAATGTTTAAAATATGGCTTAACAACGATCAAGCAATGTAACTGTAATCTCTTAAATTTTATAATATTTAAAATATTCTGCATTATTAATTTTTAACTATGTTAAAATGTTTTCTCACTAGCCTTTACAAACAAATAAAATGTGTTTGCATACCTCTGAATTTGTAAATCAAATTTCACAGACATATCCATCTCTGACTGCTGGTGCACACTGAATCGAAGGCCAGCTAAAAGCTTAAGTGGGAAAAAAGTATGGCACGGTTGTCAAAATACTTTTTCATTCACGAAATTCCACAACTGTTCAAATAAAAACTTTCAAAAACTGAGTCTTTCTAAATTACAAATAAAATGGAAAGTACTCTACCAAAGACAAGTAAAACTAATTTTCTATTAAAAAAAACCCCAAAACCCTAAATGAACCACTGTCAGAGAGCTTACTGGAGTGACAGTGATCCTGCAGGGCAGACTAGATCTGACTGTAGGGTTTCCAAGGGCGTAAACATCTTTACGGAAGCTGACTGTCTCATTTTTCTCCTATGGAGGTGCTAGCTGATTTGAACCACTGAACTAGGAGTCTAACTACTTAATCTGTGAGCAACCACGGCTTCTTAGTTTTATATCACTTTTCTTTTATTTAAGATACTTGTGCCAATCCATAAAGAATCTATTAAATAATATTAATTATACTTTATACTTTTTTGGTAACTGTAGCTGTTAAATGATTAACTAGGAAACTACAAGAGCGAAAGAATGTCAAGTCAATAAAAGTACAATTATGCACCATGATTTGGTAACAGAAAGCTAAGTAATGAACTAAGTAGTCAGAAAGAAATTGAAAGGAAGAAGTGAGTGGTTTTTAAGAGTGGGAAAATCTTACTTTGAAATAAAACCCAAAACAAACTAATGGCATGAACAGGACTAGAACCAGAATTTCTTCCCTTGCCTCCACCCTTCACCCCACCAAGACCAATCCTGCTCCTGCCGGTAGAAGCCTGACAGGTTATAAATAAAGCTGGAAAACTAAGCAGCCAGGCTCAAGAAACCAAGTTTCACAGAGATTATGTAAAGGATAGATAAAAAAAAAAATGGAGCTTCTTGGCTATTTCCTTATATTGTCTCCTACTTGACAGAATGTAAAGGGGATTCGACCAGCTGCTCTGAAAGATAAAGATGAAGCCATGTGCTCCTCGTACAGCCCACGACCTGATGAAGGGTCACCAGGAGTTAGAACTGACTTGATGATTAGGTTTTCTTTTTCTTTTTTTTTTTTAAAACAAAGTCAGAAGTTGTCCATTTGGCATAATCATAAATTTTTATACTGCATGGACAATGAGTAAGCGAAAAAAAGAAAATGAAATGATGAGAAAATAAAAATCATGATCACTCATTAATAACAACACACTGAATTATAAATACATGCTAAAAAGCCAAATTCAAGATAATGTGTATAAGGCCTCCTTCCTAAAACAGAAAACTTCCAGAAATAGTTACTTTTATTTGGAAAAGAATAAGTAAATAAATGAAATAGTTAGCCTCAAATTATTACCAGTTCTCATCTGACCAGTATTTCCTGTTTGATTAAATAAATGCAGTTGAGACAGCAACAACAAACCCGAGTTCCTGCATGACACAAATAATGACCGTGTGCTCAGTCCTAACCCAGAAGCTGGAGGTCCAAGGGGGCCTCAGAACGAAGGTGAGCCACCTGATGAGCTACCTTCAAAGAGAAAGCAGAGGGAGCTCTGGTGGCCTAGTGGCAGAAAGCTGCCCTGCAATCCCAGAGGTTTGAGGTTTAAATCCACCAGATGCTCTGCTGGAGCAGGAGGGACAATCTCCTTCTGTACCAGTCAGATCTGATTTGATGGTACACACACAAAATAATATTTTTTTTTTTTTAAAAGAAAGAAAGTGGAAGGCCTCTGGTACACAGCTCTACCCAGCACATGGAGCCGTCAAAGCCAGAACAGACTCAACTGCAACTGGGTTGGTATGTTAACTATTATACTCTATTCTCCACCGGAGAAGGAGGAACAATCTCCTCCTGTACCAGTCAGATCTGATTTGACAGGACACACACACAAAATAATAAAATTTAAAACAAAACAAAACAAAACCCTATTATACTCTATTCGTGTTTCTGATGATTCTAAAAGAGATCCAGTGAGACTTCTCAATCGCCTGGGTTTTATTATCCACCAACTGAAGAGGTATCTGATCAAACTAAGATTCTCTTTGATCCTCTATTTGAGACCACCCTGTATTTCAAATTAATGAGATGAATCTACTCCAGCCAAGAAAGACAGACAGTATTTTCCAGAGATGCTTTTTTATTTTTGAGAACCCATGAAGGAAAGCACCAGTTTAAGAATATTATTATCTCAGCGCTCTGTTTAAACTATCTTCTCATCCACTTGCATCATCGAAGGCAATGCGCAAAGCAGTGAGTTCAATATGCTCTAACAGCACAATCTATTCAGTATCTTGATCACAATGAAATAAAACTAGGCTATCACTAAACTCGAAATCGAAACCAACTTAATGACAACAGTGTGAAATGTTTGTAAAAAGAATTACTATAAGCAAACTATTTTTTCCTTTTAAGGGAAAAAAAAATTTTGTTAATAAGTCTTACTTGAGTTCCTGCCTTCATTGGATTTCCAAGGTCACATACCACCTGGCGGGTCTGGTTTTCTGTTTTAAATGCACAGGAAAGTCTTGCTAAAGCCTTTGTAAGACAAAGAAAAAAAGAAGGAAACAAATTATTTTTGCAGAGTTGTGCTTTTTTTTTTTACTTGAAGCAAACATGTCCATTTGAACTATGAAAGTGAAGGAAAAGGCAGGACTGTGTAGTTACCATATATAAACGTTAAGTATTTCCAAATTGTGCTTAGAGGACTTAGATACACAACTGTATTGCCTTTGACAAATAATGTGATGGACAGGCCTAGGCACTACATTTATCTGACCTTGTTTTCATGCACTCAACTAGTAACTGTTAAAATGCCATATCAGTGCATTTACAAAGTAGTAAGCTTAAAAGGAATTCCATAGATAGCCACTCTATTGTCTAGCAATTTAGCTTTAGGTAGAATAAGTAAGCCAGTACTCTACTAAATAGGGGAGCAGCTCATGAATATTAATAAGGTCCATGAGTGCATTTCGATTTATAAAGATGCAACTGCTTACTTCACTGTTGCGGACAACTCCAATGAAGTCAGCTTGTGGGGGAATGGACACAATGAGCTCAGCTTCGTAGGCGCCTTCCCCCTGGTTTTCAGCCTTCACGATCAATGTCAGAGGGTTGTCATCCCCAACATAAATCTTCTTTTGATCACTGCAAGTTAATATAAATCCAGACAGTGAAAGAAAAACTGCATGGGGAGAGCATAACTGTTCAAAGAGATGAGAGGGAGCCTAAGACAGGACCAACATGTTTAGCAGAGTCTCAAGATATTTTAAGACTTCACAGCTCAATAGCAAACTGGAAATAGCACACAAATATAATGTTTCTTGGTAAAAGAAAATGTTAATGCCACTAATTTATCACTACTGTACACATATCTATTACTGAAGTAGTATCAAATGTATCTTTGCATATATTCATTAATTCTATGAGTTTTTCAACAATAAAAGTAAAATGAATTCTTTTGATGATTATCACAGCTCTTTCAAATGCCTATACTGTAAAAAACAGTAATATCTGTTCATATTTAAGGGTATTATCTATCATGAAATGTATTCTCTTTAGAGGATATAATGTTACTTTCATTACTCAATGACTAATATAAAATAGTTCTATCAAAGTAGGCTACATGTAGACAGTATTGATTTATCTTTAGAGATAAATTTTTTTAGATAAAAATATCTTGTCTAGAGAAAACACAGTATTGTTGTATCTTTAGAGAATATAATATTACTTTATGACATTACACAATGAAAACCAGAAAGAGACCTATCAAATATTAGTAAAACAATATTGATGGTTTTACTCACAATCATGCATTGTTCTCTAATATAATACTCACTTAATTGTGTTCATATTTTGAACAGAAAAATGTGCTCTTCTATGTAAATTTACTACTAATGATAATTAATAACATGTTTATTATTGAAACATAAAACCATATTTATTCTTAAAAAAACCATTTACCTGTCTACAGAAACTTCAAGCTTGGGTTTACAAACATTGTCCTCACCACAATCAAGTAGAATATGAGCCTAGGAAAAAAAAACGCTTTTTAAAAATACAGGAAATATATCAATATAGAGTACATATGCCATCTATATGTGTATCTGTATGTATGTACATATACATGTATTTATTTAGGGAACTGTAGTAGCGCAGTGACAGCTCTAGTGGCCTAGTGGTAACAAATTGCTCTTCAATCTCAAAGTCACTTGGTTCAAACCAACCAGCTGCTCTGCAGTAGAAAGATGGACAGTCCCCTCCCGGGCAATTCAATTGCCTCTGAAATCCTGCCGGAGGGTCAGCTATGGGTTGCTTCGACTTGATGGTACACAACAACAACAACAGTTGCTGAAAGGAAATTAGTGGAAAGGATTTATGCTGCCAACCCAAAGGCAGAC